CTTGCCGGGCGATTGCTCTACCACTAAGCTACCCGACCGCATAGACCCATGACGCTATATCCCCAAGTTAACAAATGTTTACAAGTGTATCATATTAGACCCTACCCTTATATATATATTATATATATATACTCATATATATATATCATATATACCCTACCCTACCCTACCCTATATCCTAGTTTTACCACCACGGTTTTTATAGAATGCTAATTTATGATAATATCATTTCTATAACTGAATAACATGTTACTACTTATTTTCAGACAGACTCATTTGATAGTAAATTTAATAGTTCAGCTACTACTTGGAGTACCATTAGAGATGGTTCATCGTGGTTGGAGAGTGTTGTTAATTTATTTATCCGGAGTTTTAGCTGGTTCACTAGCTACGTCAGTAACTGATCCTTCAGTTTATTTGGCTGGGGCTTCTGGAGGTGTTTATGCTTTGATCACAGCACACATAGCAACTATAATTATTGTAAGTAATGAGTTAAGTTAAAACTATTTTTTGTGTATTCAATCATTGYAATAAAATTGAAATTAATCATGTTAAATAATTATTTTTTAATAATGATATATTAATTTAAGAGTATGGTTAATTTGTATTGTATATAAATTAATTTTACAGAATTGGTCTGAAATGGAATGTGCTGTTTACCAACTTTTGGTGTTTGCTTTTCTAATTACTTTTGATTTTGGATCATCCGTTTACAATCGCTATTTTGTTGATGTAGACAATCAGGTATATAATTGATATTTTATTTTATTTATGCTATTTTTATTAAACCAACCATAATATTTTTAGATTGGTTACACTGCACATTTAGCTGGTGCTATTGCTGGTCTACTTGTTGGAGTATACACTTTACGAAATCTTAATGTCCGTCCATGGGAAAAAAAATTATGTTGGTTGTGTTTTGTCATTTATGTGTTGTTGACTGGCTCAGGTATTTTATGGAATATTATGTTTCCTGAACATTTTTCTAAAGAATACTATTAAAAGTTMAAATTACTTCTGTTGAAAATTTTGGATCAATCCTAGCACACAAATATTTTTTTTTTTTTACTTTTTATATAAATAAAAGCTAAATGTTGATTTATCTTTATCAAATATCAATATTTTATTTAACAAATCTAATTTCACAAAAGTTATGAGTCTTGTTACTTAATATATTGAGTATTTTTTTAGTTAAATATATAAATCAGTGTGATATAAAAATTTGTTTTATATTTTTTTTAAATTATTCATCAAATTGCTTTTTTTGTCACAAAATTACACTATTTTATTATATACAAACAAATTTAGTATTTATTTTATTTTTCATATAAAATATATGTTATACTTTTATCTAATCTATATTTTTTTTAATTATGTTCATATATTAATGGAGTATTTATGTAGATTTAGCTTGAAAAAAATTATGTCAGATTATTTATGTAAATAATAATTCATATTTTATTCATATGAAGAAATTATTTTTATNTTTTATTAAGAGCTAAATCAAAATCATATTAAAATGTAATATTATGTAAGTCAATTAAGTTTTAATAGGTCACTATAAATTCAGATTTATTTTTACTAAAAAGTTATGTATTCACGTTTGATTACTTATTACTACRTATTTAATATATATTTAATTTTTGTTTGACCAATAAGACCAACATCATTAATTATATATACTATTATTTTTTAGTATTGTTATATTTTTTTAGAGAGATAATTAGTAGCTACTATGAAAAAAATATGTTAATGATGTTTTGTTATGTATTTTTTGTTGCTTTTTTCACATTATTTGTAACAAAATTGATTTAAGACTTTCAGTCATTTCATGCCAGAAAATTATCAACCCACATCTGCTATTAATACAATTTAAGTCATCCAAATTAATCTCAAGACTCTATGCCTCTACTTGAGAAACTTATTCGGGACATTTGCACTAGCTAATTGGTATAAATGCAAAATTGAAATAATATAATATTATATTTTTCATAATATAGGTATTGTTACATATCGAACGTGTCATTTGAGCATTGGTGGGACTACAAAATACAAAAGTAGTCTTAAGAACCCTTTATTTTTTTTTAGTTCTACATATAATAATTATTATTAATAGTTATAGATTATTAATATAAACAGCAATACAGGGAGTCCAGTCTGGTTTTATAATAAGATACACAGAGATAAGAACTATAATTATTTCATTTTTTGATTTATTTTAATGTTTTGGTAAAAAAGTTAAAAAATATATTATTTTTTTTAATTATTTCCAAAAAAATTAAAATTAGCCATTTTGTAGATTTTATTTTTCTGAAAATATTGACGTTTCAAAGTTTTATTTTCCTTAATTTCCTGATTTTTAATATTTTTTCTAGTTTTGAAGAAATAAAATATGATTGTAGTTTATAACTATTAGGAACACGGAAGGTATTCGGCCGGCCGTATGGGAATGCGCGCGGGGTGGCGGGTCACATGTTTGATAACATTACGGTGTTAAATAATTCGCAATTTTTCTCGAAACTAAAAAA